TTCTTGGTTGTATTACCGGCATCTGTACTGCCTGTATTGAATTTTGCAATTTCATGGAAGTAAGTGTCACAATCTTGGCATAGAAATCTGTAAATATACACAGGTAATCCTAAATTGTTACATGATTGTGTATGTGGTATACACACTCATACATAAAGTACAAAGAAAACATTTTGCCTAAGTTGCATTCTTTGCTTTGATTGAAATATCTTTGTTATTCATAAATATCTGCAAAAGAGCATAAAATAGGTGTCACAGATATTTCTGATAAAATTATCATGTAGAAATAAATGGTAGATATAACTGAAACATTGATACCGTTATTGAAAACTTACATTCTATACTTGCATTTTACATATGACATAAGTCAAAATTATTATCTATGCATTAGATTTGAATATTGTTAGACATACAAAAGTGGGTCTGCATGATGTGTTTATTATTAACACAACATCGTTATACGATAGCTTATATAGTCTAATACTTCCTATACTAAACAACCATAAAACTAAGCAAAGGTTTAGTGGTAAATTGAATTTTAATATTTTACTAATGTTAAGCGTATGAGCCCATACTACATTGACGCCGAATTGACGTCCATGATTGGCGCCTGTCAGGAAGATGTCTATGATTCTGAGGTATAACCCCAAAATTATAACTTCGCTTCCACGCATCTGTGTAGTACTAGTATCATAAAGCTTTTCTCTTTTAGCAAATGGAAATCTTTGTATAGGTCATCTTTATATGATGTATCAGACTTAAATTAGCATGATTTATATGTACAATAAGAATTGAATGAAAATTTACCAAATGGTATCAATTTCTTTTATTTAAATATTTTTAGCAATAAAAAGGAATGAGTAAAATTGAATTTTTCCTCTCTAGTCTAAATATTTCTAGTAATTATCAAGAATGGATATGTTCGATTTTTAGTAGATAGAATATCATATTTGATCCTTTTCTTCAATTTTTAGTAAAAACGTTCGTAATTTGTTTATATATAATCACACGTAGTAAGGCGTTACTATCATGAATATTATTATCATTAATATTCATAATAATATCACAGTAACGAAATACTAATATATTGTAAACATATTAAATTTCATATATGCTAATACACACATTAGATACAAAATGTGAAATGGTAAAGTAAGTTATGAAATTTATGTAGTATAAAAATGAAACACTTCATAAACTTTGTTATACACATACATATATTTGTATATATGCATAATACCTCCTATTTACTTAAAAATTAGTACATGAATATATACTAATATATTTTTTAAACAAATTAAACGAATGGCAATGTTGCATGCAGACTTTGTATTAAATGTAAATGTATTTACTTATAAATTATGTAATGATTATATGATATATGTTTAAGTGTATATTATATGTACACATCTGAAAAAAGTAACTATTATTATATTTATGTCTGAATATGTACTTCTTTTTTAATATAAATTACATGTTGAAAATCATGGAGGTATAAGCATGATACTTTATACTGTAAATTACAATTTTTTATCAAAAAATTACATTTACAGCAGTGTTCTTATTTTCAGCAAGAGGTATACATATTAGATTTAAGTAATATGATGCATTTGCTTTACGAATTTTGTCTGTAATCATATGTTTTACAGAACCATTTTAGATACCATCATGTATATTATTTTCATTTATTACAATATGTGCTTCTTAATCTTAGTTTTACAAAGGGACATGTATATTCGTTAATTAAAATGCAAAGTTAATAGCATTGTGTTTCTGTTATTTATTAGGATGAAGATGGAGATATGTCCAAAGAGAATGCAGCTAGTTTCGAAGAAACTATCATATCGTTGGACGAGAAGTTTACTCAAGTATTAATTCGTCTTTTAGACAGAATCTGTGATCTAGGGTGTGATAACAACAATGAAAAACTTCTCAACGTCTTTTGCAGGTAAGTTCATTACAAAAATGTATAAATACTTATTCTATAATTTTTTTATAAATCAAAAATTAATATTTCATTGCTTTTCAATCAGGCTAGATTTCAATTTATTTTATACCGATATTTTAATACGACGTGGAAGAGAAAAGACGACACAAGAAGATGTTTCGGGGTAACCATTATGTACTCATATCTGGTAGAATACTATGTATTCATAGACGTATTTGTAGTTTTCGAATAATTACTTTGTAAAGTAAAACTTTTTGCACTGTATTTGTACACCATATTAAAACTTCCATAGATGTTAATGTAACGTTAAAATCTATAGGTAAAAGGAGATTCAAGTTAGTTGTGCACTAAATCTTTTAAGTTATTGAAATCATCACCTTGACTGAACTTGTTGAAAGTTATGTAAATCTGTTCACATTGGTCACTTCGTAAAATTATTAAAAAACACTACCTATTTTGTACATTTAAAATAAAATGTATTTTATAAATGTGAAAGATTTACAATATTCATGTTATAATACTCGTACCAAAAGTATTTTTATAAAATTTTCATTCTAAAATTGGAAAATACATTTTTTATTACATAGATTGAATATACAGTATTCAAAGAGTTTTATGTAATAATTAATTAATTCATTTTATGAAATGATGAACAATTAAAAAATAAGGTTGTGTTTAATATCATGAATTAATTATTTATTCCATAGCACTATTAATGTGTTGTAATTTGATAAACTATTTAATTGTTCACATCAGTGTATAATAAATCTTTCTACATATATGCATAGGTTGAAAATTGTAGTTATGAAATGATGATCAATATAGTTAACAGTGTATAGTTCAGTCCTTATATCAGTCTGTGTATAGATACCTTCTGATGTTTTTAATTACATATAATCAGATTTGAAATATATGTTTAAATACGTATTTAAAGTTTTTACATTCAAAATGTGCAAGTGATTTTGTATACAATTAAATATTTTATTAAATTTAATAAAACTATTATAAATAATATAAAAATGTCTTATTTATCGATTTGTTTATGAAACATCACATGTTCAATTCCTGTTGTAGTTAACAAAGTAAAAGAGAAGTATGTATAAGCAATACAACACATCTACAGGAAACCTTCGATAATGCTCGAACATTGGGACACAAAGTTGGCAATTATCGAGAGGCAGAAACAATTCTATTCTAAGAAACGAATGTCCTGGGCGTGCTGAAGGTAGAAAAGAACAACGCGAATGAAAGAGAAAGAGGGAGAAAGAGTCGAAATGTTCGGCAACATTGTAGGCTCGCGATAAACAGAGACCTTTAACTCAAAAATCAAACTTTCTTACTTTTGATTTGTGACGAATGAAATTTTTACCAACATATTCGTCACATTTTTCTAATTGAACTGATACCAAACACGATATAATTTGGAGCATATTTGCTTACTTCATAAATGATAATAAGTAAATATATGTAATTCAAATTACAGTAGTGCACACATAAGCGTCCGCATTTTTGCACACTTAAGCGTCCATCGCTATCCCCACCAATTCTTGTAAATGGGACATCGGAGTGGAGTTCGAGCGTGCGTCCTCTCTTTTGTTTAGTTAAATTCGCAGAAGTCACCTCCCCACTTAAGCGTCCACATTCGGTCCCGACTGCGGACGCTTATGTGTGCACTACTGTATATCGTGTTTGATGCGTTTTGGGCAATTATCTAAGGTTTCCTGTAATTCTCATCATCTCTCGCAACATTAAAATTATTATTATCAATCTTCTGTTTTATATCTTCTAAATTCAATCACAGATAATTTCTCTTTCACTTCCTTCAATTCGCTGATCACCTTTTCAATGTTTAATTTTCGACTCCTCTTTGATAAAATCTCTTTGGCTTGTTGAAAAATAAGCATTTTAAAGGGGTCCTTGTATCCGACAGTAGTATTTTCATCAAATCGTCCCTTGTAATACATTTCATTATCACGAGCCCCCATCATATTGTGCGGTTGCTTTTTCAATTTACCACTTTTCAAAAAACTTGGGAAAAGAAGCATCTTCTCCGCAAAAAACGAGGACGGATTGCATCCACAGACACGCAAGAACCCACAACAGACTAAACAATGCAACTTATTATGTGCAAACGAAGTGCCAACGGCCACGTTCTCCATGTAAGCAAGAACCTGTACCCTAGAAATTAACCCTACTAGTTCCGCTTTTCCAAGAATGTCTGCGGTATCGCTAACAGCCAAACCATTCAGTAAATTGAACAATATTATTGCAATGAGAAAAACGAAGGCGACGAAAACAAGGTGACTCAGAAGTGGGTGCAACATAAATGGAATGTCATCAGCGTCAAACTCTCCGGTAAGCATAATAATGGTCTTGAACAAGGAGTGTTCAAAATCTGGAAAACTTTCGGAGCCATCTTTGAAGAGAATGAAGAAAGCAAGAGCAAAAGCGTAAATAAGTATCACGTAAGGGGCTAAAAAGCGCATGAAGTTAAGCGACACAGTTTTGAACATCTCTACGGCGGTGGAAAACCGTGGATACTTGCCTAACAGGATTATGAACACCCAGGCGGATAGTAATATCGTTACGACCGTAATCGGTGTTCCTGCACCATTTAGCACAGCGAATCCAGAACCTATCAAAGCTATTTCCATCCAATTTTCGTAAGTTGATATATAATGATACGGTGATGAGATTAATTGAAGAATTTCTTTAAGAGTGAATATGACTAACATAATACCGGTAAGTATTTGCAAAGTATTAACGGAACTTGATTCGTTAATTTCTGTGCTTGAATTCGTAGGTGCATATGGATTTTTAACATAACTTCTGTATACTATATGACAGTTCAATAATATATAAAACAGTATGTAAAATATTAAGTTTAGACACAGAATAGGCTTTACTCTTAACCATTTCAGGTATAAAAAGGAGGATAACAGAGGGTGCTTTAACAGGTATTTTAAGTTACTTTTGCTAGAAATATACCGCAACGCGTCCATTTCTCTTTTCTCTTGGTTCATCCATTTGTTCTGTTGGCTGTCCATGTCAGAGGTATCATGAGGCATTAGACACTTGTAATCGAATTCAATGTAATACTCCTTCGATTGTCCTCTTTTAGCCTGTATGCAGTCGTCGAAGTATTGGGACAAAGTAGACATGGAAATGTCTGCAACTGGTGGTACGCCGAAGTTGTTCATATGACCGATGTAGCTTCCTTTCTTGAGTAACGATGTCACCGCTTCGCGACAGTCGGCTCTGGCCGCGTAATGGAGTGGAGTATTTCCTTTGCCTATGGCATAATGGAATTTTTCTTTTAAATTTTCATCCAATCATATTGTTATTTTTATTGTTTGTTTTCCTAAGTAAGTTTACAATTTAGACTGTATATAAATGGATTTTTTGTTTTTCAAAAAATGAGAAGAAATGTTAATAAGGGCGCTTTTCTATTATGTTTACTAATATTCTTGATATACAACTGTATTTTTTTTTTAGGAAGAAAATTAAATTTCTGTTGTATGTTACACTGTATAATACTCACTGTCTGTGCATCGAACATCTACATCCTCTCTTTCTAGAATTAAGTTTAAACACTCCAGGCGCTTATCAATGGTGCCAGTGCTTGCCTTTTCCAGCATATCCAACTCTATGCAAGCATTCAACAACAGATCATTCTTAACTTCCAAATCTGTGTTCAATATTTCACAAAGAATATGTGGTAAACCCTGTTGAATGGCCAAATTTGCAGCCTTCTCCAAATTACGTACAGATTTTTTTGTTCTATCTAACAACTCAATTACTGCATCCCTGAACCTCCTCTCCACAGCCATTTCTATCAGATCCTCTGCTATGTTGTTCACTACATCATCCTTAACAGTTTTCAAGCATTTCAAGAAATTCATTTCATCATTAGCATTTAAATAATACTTCAAGTTATGATCATTTCCTTCTCTGCTGTCAACAGGGGGCAATTGGATATCTGGTAGCTGCTCCTGCAATACTTCCCTGGTCGTTTGATTGTTGTAGTCTTTGTAACTGTCCAAATCTACCTTGTGTTTTGTTTTCTCCATAATTAAGTTTATCATGTCCTTTTCGCTTTGCATAGCTGCCATATGCAATGCAGTTAGACCTTTGTTATTGGGAATATTAGGACTAGCACTTTTTTGTAAAAGCAACTCTGCACAATCCAAGTAATTCTTCTTCACAGCCATGTGTAAAGCTGTTTGTTGTCCTGCTTCCAAGTTTGGATTTATTGTAGGCTCCTCCAATAATACACGGAGGACATTCACATGACCTTTTTCTGTGGCAAAGTGAATTGGTCCACGATTATGAGCTTGATTGACTCTATTGACTATTGCCCCTTTCTCTAATAGAAATTGTACAAATTCTGAAAAGCCATTTTTACAGGCAATGTCCAGCAAGGTCTCCTCTGATCGATCTGAATAGGAATAGTTTACATTGATCCTGAGTGGCTGTTTTTTTAGATATCGTTCAAAGATATTTCTAAAGGATTCATAATTCCTTGCACATAAGTGGTCCCAAAGTTGCTTGTATATGTCCTGGAATCTTGGGTTTGGTGTGTAATCATGCAGAAGATGCATATCCAAAGACTCATCCTCTGGATCCATGATGAAATCTGAAAATTTATGCATTGCCAATGAATAAGCTAATTATTCTACAGGTTGTTTTACAAATAGTTTATTGCAATAAATTTAATTTATAAAACATTTGCAGTGTATTATGCTTATGTTTAGGAATACATAGAAAGGATCTTTGCATAAGAATTTGTGGATACTTTTTTTTTATTTTCTACATTTCATAAAATCAGCATATATACATATAGTAAGCAACATGTTGCAATTTTTATACAGATAGCTACATGCAGTTTAATTTAAATAAGTAATAAAATCGTGTTTTAATTATATTTTACACCTGGAACGAAACGAGATACTGCGTGGCATATGCATGCCCTACGTGGATGTGTGAATCATTACGTTACAGTTTCAGTAATGATGTCAGTGAAGCAAATATTAGCAGGACTAATAGAGATATCACATTGCCTTATTTCCTTTGCAAGCTTAATTTTAAAATTATTTGGAATGACTAGTAGACCATATTTTTTTCGACGATTTCGGAGAATAGAGCGGATAATAATTTGATTTCTAAATTACCAAAATTTTTGAATACGAAAATTTTTTATTAAATTTACATTTTATGGCGTTAAATATTTTTAATTTATATTAGTAAAATTTCGTTGAAATCAATATCATAAAAGTACAAATATTAAATATTTTACAATTTACTGAAAAAGTTAAATTAACATTTTAGCTAATTTTCATTTATCGAAATAATATTTTCTTATCCTAAAAAAGTACGAGGCGGCTGTTTATTATGCTGTGCAAGCACTGTCCGGATGCGTTTCCTGTGATTAACATTAATTCAAGTTCAGATAAACGAGAAATGTGAAGAAGAATTTCATCGAATTGTCCACCGTGAACAATGATTACAGTAATATTACGCTTAATGCCTCGTTATTAACAATGGAATATCAAGTTTCCATTGTAATACGATGAATAGAGTTGATCCTTATTGAGATAACGCGCGAAACTAACAATTACACATTAAAACGTACGCTATCGACCGAATAATTAATCTATGTTAATTACCTGTTCATGCACTATTAACCCTATCACTACTATTCAGTGTAACGAAAAAAAAGGGTAAGAGTTCAAAGATAAGATAACAACAACTGATGGATAAGATAAAAAGTAAAAAAATAAGAAATTAGAAGCAAAAAATTAAGATTAAAATGTAATAGAAAGTACAGGGTGCTTAAGAAAAATGTAATAACACTTATCTATCTCATCAGTTCTAGTTCTCTAAAAAAAAGTTACCTGTATATAAGCGTTAACATTTTTTTAACCATCCTGTAGATAATAAGAAACAAATTTATAATTTATTAATTTTAAATAATTGGAGTGAAGGTATTGTTATTAATTTTTAAATGATGCTCTTGTATCGCGCTGACCACAGATATGAATATGAAAATTATTATGATCCAACTTACTAAATGGCATACCTTCGATTGCAGCTTATTGAAAACCACCTTACACTATAGTGGAATTATGCTGTAGAAAAATCGACGCCAGAGTAAATATCACGGGATGGGTATTACGTCGTTGTGTACTTTCAAAGAACGGAAAACGAAAACGCGCACATAAAACAACGATAAAAGGAAATCGAAGAAAATCTCTCCACGTACTTCAGTCTGCTGTGAAAAAGACTGAACTGCTTTGCTGTACACTTCCCTTCATCGTGATGTCAGCGTGGACAGGGAGAGGGGAATGATCAATGTCAGCTTGTATTCATGGTACAATTTACCTTTTAGTCCCTCGAGGCGTAAACACCTTGTTTGTAGATTTAACTTGAAGAAATTTACAAATGAAGATTAACTTAATTCAACTTAATTAAGGTTAGGTTAATGCGACTGTAATAACGTAGTAAATGACAGAAAAATGAACAAGATTGTACAAGCATTGAATTGCTAAATTAGTGCTTCAAATATAATGATGAGTCAGACGAATGTGTAAAAGTAGTCAAGGGTTTAATTCAATGTAAAATCTTGAATAAGCAATAAAATGTTTCGGAATATATGTGTGTACATAATCGTAGTATGATATGGATTTGTTTGAGGTATGGTAGTTCTTTGATATCATTTAAATAGAATATTATTTAATTTTTCCCAGTCCGATCGATCCAAACGGACCCATTACAAATATTGGAAAGAGGTTGTGTTTGTGTTGCTTTTTCATCGTGCATTTTTAATTATAATATCTCACTCTAGGGACTCTAGGAACTATTTTTTATTTTTCCTTTTTTATTGTGTTATCAAACATTGTTCAGGCATAAATGGTCGTAACGACTGGAAAACATGAGTTTGAAATTTCTCTTCGAAACCTGGATATATCCAGAGCTCAGCTTCCTCCGTCTACCTAAATTTTACATCTACATATTCTCATCCCCTAAATACTGTCCACTTTCACCACTCTCTACTACTGTCTCTATGGAACAACCAATCAAAAACATTCTGTAAATATTCCATGCAAATATTCGTAACCTTCTTGTAAGCAATAGAACACATTAATTTGGTGTTTAAAGTACTGCGTACGTGTAGCACTTCACAAACAATTCAGTATATTACGCATGCGCAACTGTAACGTCTAAATGCCAAAACTAATGAACAGATTTTTTTTTAAACAGCCCCTATGATTTGGGTTGGAAAGAATTAAGAAGGTTGCAGTGTAAATTGACAATTAGATAGAACAGTATAAGATTCTGTAAAAAAATAACTTGAAAAATTATTTGGTTAATTTAAAGTAGATATATTGAGTGAATATTGACGCATGCATTGTATATGTATAAAGAATATGTAAGAGAAAAATTGAAACTTGGAAATTCGATGAAATAAGAAAAATTAACAGGTTATCGATTTCCCATGATAGCGGATAGCAGCTAAACGATACTAATGCTTTTTTCTACATTTGTAATAAGCCAGAGAGCGGTAGTAGACCTTACATTCACTTTTGTATACCGTCACTCGCAACGATAACGTGAGCCCCTAATTTTAGCTGACGTTTGCCCTGACCGAACAGGACACAAGGTCTAAAGGAATCGATGATGAACACCAAGAACGTTAGGGTGCGTGGGTTGCGAAATCGAGTATATCCATTAAAGGATATGTAAGCAGATACTTTTTTTGTGAGTAGATGACGTCGGTAACGTTTTTAAAATGCAATTCTTTTTGTTAAGAAATAAATAATGTTGTTGTCACTTCATATACGTAATAAACGATAAACAATAAATAAAACGAGAGGATCAAACTAAAGAAAACGGTCTTTTACTTCCATAGCAGTGATATTAAAAAGAGTATAATAATACGGAAAAGTAATATACAAGGTGGCCCATATTGCACTCAAAAACAATTTCTTCAATTGTACAATTTTTGAGACAATTACATGTAACAAAAAAAAAAAACAAAAATCATTGTAAAGTTAATGTAGTGATATCATTCCTTCCCTTTTTTTATCTTTGAAAAATTTAACATATAATGACAATGTTCGGTTCGGAAATAAGAGACTTCCCGCAAAGGATAACGCGACGCGAGGACGCATGCGCCGACATCCTCAATCGCGACAGAGATTAAGGATTACGTGGTGGGAGTAAAGACGCACATGCCACGATAGTACGACGTACGACATTTAGTTTTCAGTCGTTCAGGAACGCGTCTCAGGTGAAGGTGTGGTGATAATTTGGTGCTTCCGTGTTTCTTCAATAAACTTCTACTACGAATTCACAATTCGACCCATCATTTTACTGCTCTTCGTTCGACAACAGAATACCTCTTTGTCGTAATACCTTTCGTGACATCTAGGTAAATTATATCATAGATTTCATTGAGCTTCTTTTAATCCATTTGAAACTGACGAAGCACCATGTCCGTCGGTTATAAAGGAATTGATACTATCAATTAGTGTTGAAAAATCTGTCAGAAAGATAAGATCGCATACAGATACTGTAAGTATAAAAGAAAATGTATAACAATTTAAATGGCTTCGATTTCAAGTGGGTTAAGCGAATAATTGTGAATCATTTGATGTTAGAATTCATAAAAATGTATGGTAGAAAAATTTGTCGATTACCGATAGGGGTGTATCCATTTAGTAAGAAATTCGGTATGAGACATTCTTGTCTCAATGAACTCGGTTGGTACATGTGTTAAGTGTCTCCACTACTGTGCTAAGCAATCGTACACTGTGTACATATTTTTATTGCACGGTGTTTATATACGTTGATAGTATTGACAAATATTACCGACTTACCGAGTATGTTAAGCAAATCTTCGTTCATTATTTTTTACTTACTTTAAGTAAAATAAACTTCACTTATTGAATCCCTTTTTCTTTCAAAAGAAAATATTCTCCAATATCGAGTTACGTTTAAAAAATAAAGTTAGTATGATAGAATATAAAAAACATAAAAGAATATTTAAAAAATAACTAACATTGATTAAATATTTAATATCTTTACTTTTAAACTTTACTTTTAATTATATTTAAAATGATGTAATTTGAGAACAAATTTTAACTGAATTCTTATTCTTATCAATTCAAATAACTAGATAAATTTAATCGAGTAGTTACATACAATCAAATCCATCTTATATTTCGATCGTGAAACTGTAAAACCTAATGTCTGACGTCAAGGATATTTTGGCTTCAATAACACTTACCGTAAGAGAACTAAGGTGAGTAAAGTCTGAGTAATCCAGCGTACCGTAAACAAATATTATGTCATCGTCACGTATTAATGAATTCGCCGACGGCGACATTACAATGTCATAATTGGCAATTTATTTAGCATTGTATACACTACTTCGATAAAGTCGATGATTCCAGGTATCAGTCAATTGTTAACTGATAAGTGGAATAGAAAAATTATGGCTAGATTAGAAATAATCTAGACTACAAATAATGATAGAAATAATGTCAGATACAGTTTGTGTTCGTAAATATTTATTGCGATGAAAAAATGGGAAGTATCTAAATCATGTTTCCAAAGGTCAAATATCACTTTGAATTGTGTAATTTATTGTGATGTCGGAATACCTCATTTTACAATTTCATAAAGCTTTCTAAAAAGAAAAAAAACATTTAGTGAAATATAATTAATAAGTATGAAAATATATTAAACTGGTTTATTAATTATTAATTATATTATAATCCACTTGATTGAATGTAACCAATCAAAAAAGTATCTCAAATCCCTAATTTCCATATGAAAGGCTGTCAGAGGGAGCGTGGACAAAAATGGCATCGCTTGGTACCGCAACTATCAGGCTTTGTTTAATCTGTTCTCTACTTTCTCCACGCGTGGAATTAACAGTCGTTTCGAAACAGTTGAGTCCTTTCGAGTTCGGAACAATGGCAGGCGATCTAATAAAACACGTGCATGCTCGTATGTAAATGAAGGATTTACAAAAACCAAAAACCATTCGTAGCGTTTCATTGTCCGAATACTGAGATGAAAGTCTCTCATAATAGAAGCAGTCACGAGAGTAAACAATCACATTTGGTACGACCACAAAAAAGCAACACAGACTAAATACGTAGAAGACAAAATGTTTACTTTTCATGGGTATTGAATATATATACATTCCAGACATTCTGTTTTATCTCGAAAAGAGCAAATAGATGTCTCACAGTTAGATATTTATAATAAGTAAAATTCGCGCCAACTCAAGAATCGAAAATCGAATTGAACTTTGACTTTCTTCGCTATACATATTCGACTTCTTGTAACGAACCATATTTAGCAAGGTTATGAGAAGCCCGGTGTATACGAGTGATCAAGAATCTCTCATGTTTGCCATATTGGGCTAGATCGATTGAATGATCGATTCTCGATGATCATGAAAACTTCTTTTATAATTTCGAAACGTATCTCGGTCACGTGTCTTTAAACTGTTTTTTGCCTTGTCTTATAAGCGACGATTTATTCTCAACTTACTTATTAACATGATACTCAACTTATAAATGATACTATACTTTTTACGGTACTAAATACACTATACATATGTATATAACAGTAGCCCAGTTTCAATAACAACGCTCATATTAAAAAGTTGAAAGTTCAGCATTATTTAATATTAACATTACACTATATATATTAGTGATTCTGAAAGTTTCATAAGTGAACAATTCGAAACAATTGAATTTACCGCCTAATTTACGATATGTGAGTTCAT